TCCAGCAGACTGACAATAACGTAGTGTGAACTCAACAACCAATGGCCAGAGAGAGAAATGTCAGCAGCAGCTCTCTGGTGAGCAATAGTGAGTTGAAGCAGAGTTCAACGAGCTCTCTCCTCCTCACCCCTGTAAGAATTTCAGTTGAATGACCTTTTAAGACCCTTTGCAGCTCGGAACGAGGACTCATCATCACAAAGACGCCCTTTAATATATGATACATACAAGTAATGTGTGGAGGTGGATGGAGAATCTGCTCTTGGCAGGTCTTTCGTTAACATAAGGACATTTCAGACTACTGGCAGCAGCTTCTGAAGTCTGAGCTGTCCACAGATTGAAGAATTGGCTCTCAAGTATCCACTCTCAGTGAACTGTACTTTTCTAATCAAGAAAAAAAGATGGATTTCAGCAGTCAAATCTCAATTCTCTGATTTTTTGGGCGATATTTCAAGAAGAGTCTTCATATCTTCAAATATATGAAGATTATATAAACTAGCTAGTACCTAGTATCTGTGCTCGTCTATAAAAAACTTAGGGGACTGTCACTCACTAGAGACGGATTAACAGACGGAGGGTGAGAGAGCAGCAGAGGCTGAGATATGAAGCTGTCGATAAGAGACACGCCGGTGTCAATATGCTGTACCATGTGATCTCTGTTGAAGAATTTATACAATATTCCATGTCACTGCCTGGTGCTCCCCCCCCCCATCTGAATGCTTCAGGGATTTCTGTGTTGTCCTCCGGAGAAAGTCCAGGGCCCAATTCTGAAAACGGCTTTACTCCCCATAGCGTGAGGCAATGGCCAAAGCTGGATCCTACACTTCCCATAATGCATCTTAATAGTGATCTTTGTGTGTAAAATCAGTGGAGCGCCCCTCTAACAACAACCACAAAGAAATCAGTATATAAATGTGTGTTAAGCTGTGATGTGTGTAGTTCAAATCCTGCACAAGCATTGTGATTCATATTCACTCGTGGTGGCTGCGTCCGAACAGCAACACTTACTGCAGAGGAAACAGCATTTGTGGAAACTCTTTCCGTCGCACTGCACTTCCTCGGCGTGGTAAACTGTCCCGCGGCACGCTCCGCACTTGTTGCCTCCTCCCCAGTTTGGCATCGTGTGTGGTCCTAACGGGAGACAGAGAAAAGATGTGAGACATGGACACATAGATCCATCTGCTCCTCTTCCACTTGTCCTTCAGTTCTATTCACTAAGGAAGCACGACTGAGAAACTTCATGTCAGCACCATCCTTCTTAATTCATATTCACACAGTTCCACCTGGGGCGTCCTCCAGGTAGAGCTGTGTGTGAATATGAAGACGGGTGTAATAATACCACCTTATGAGCTTTAATTGAAGTATTTAAAGCATTAAGCAGTTTTCCCCTCCATGCAGTTGTATCTTCATCAGCCTCGGAGAACTTGTTTTGAATTGAAAACCAGTGCTCCAGGCCATAACTACGGCTCTGACAAAAGAAACGCACAATACAAAGGAGGTCAGCCTAAATAACAGGGCAGACTAATACCCAGAGGAATGTTTTGAAGCGCAGAGACTTGAGGCTTTTGTTGACTGTTGTCGGATGGACCGACGGCCGTGGCTGCAGGGTGTAAAGCCCAAACAGCAGTAAATGCGAGTAAATCAGAGTGTGAAGTAACTTCTGTGTTTATGGCAGTGAGCCCACGCGACGCACCCAGTCCCTCCCTGACTCACATGTGCATCTGTCTGTAATTACACCCTCGCTCATTTAACGTTTTTTAAGATGCTCTGCTTTCCTTGAGTATCACCGCAGAGCCAAGCGCCTGTGATGTCCTACCTCGGAGATGAAGCTCTGTGATTATTAACTTAAGTGAAAAGAAAAACACTATTAATCTTGTTGTCAGAGACTCCAGTCCTCCTCCCGGTTGAATTAGAGACTGTGAAACATTTACCCTTGGGTGTGATGAGAAAGTCAACATTAAAGTGAACGGTCCTACACTTCATTTCTACTCCGATTGGAAATTTGTATTAGATGTGTGAAGGATCTGTTGGCAGAAATCTTCTGCAGAATAATCCTCATGAAGTTTTCACTAGTTCTTTTCATCTAAATTGTATGAATTGTAGTTTTCTTTACCCCAGAAAAGGTCCTTTATATTTAAATACTTTATATTTACATCAAGGGGACCCTCTCTACAGAGGCTGCCATGTTTCTTACATTAGTCCAGACTGGACAAACTAAACACCTTTTGAGATTTTATGAATATAACTGTAAATACCACAGGTTATTCTTTTCACACTGTCATTTACATCATCATTTCATATGACCCTCACAACCTCATCGTTACTAATTCAGTGCTGTCTTTACTTGTTTGTGAAAGTCAATGACAGTCTTTTAGATTCAATTTCTATTATTCTGATGCCCTCACATCTGTCACAGAGCTATACACACTGGACAGTAGATCTGAAGTTGTGAAATCAAGCTGCCACCACAGATGGAAATGACACTGTAGCACAAAGCAGAGCGAAACTGTTCATATTACATATTTATAGCGTTTACACTAAAAAGTTCTCTATTTATTTAACATGTTTTTATGTCACTCTTCATTTTCTATGGCACCTGCAGCTTCTTAGCTTCCTAACTTTGCACGTTGTCTGTGTTTTGAACCAAACAGCAGCGAATTAAAAACCTTTACAGCTGAAGTTTGAGTATGACATGGCTGAAAGTTGTTTTTTTTAACTAAACCACTTTATTTGAACTCAGTGGGGAAAGTAAATACGGTTATTTTCAACCTGCAACAAAGGAAAGAAGTTGCTTGAGAACTTTAGCACAAATAACACGACATGTAAAGAGGATTATAAACGTAGGAAAACGTTCATGTTAACCTGTTTATCTTCAGTAAACCAGTCTGAGACAGTCTCGATCAGTACAATCGAAGTTTACCTGAGCGTGTGGTTTGAAGAGGCAGGTAATGTCCGGCTGTGAACGCGTCCTGGCTCCAGATGAACGCGTGTTAAACGTCCAGAAGACTTCTACTACACTGACCCTGAACGCCACATACTCCACATACTGAGAGTGGGAGGAGGAGGGAGTCCGAGGGGCGTGAACATATCACCGCTGCCTTCAGGCGCTGTCGGGAAAAATGTCACTAATGTCCGAACTACGTTTGTGTCGCGCACTCTCACTAGATGAGAGAGTGTGGATGAGATGCAGTTCATAAACTGGTGGAGGGTTTGGATTTTTGCATTGTTGCAGACAAAAATACACTCAGATCACCATGGTAACACATGTATAGTCAGTGGCAGAGAAATGAGACAGATCATAATAAATATTGAATCTTTATAGGAAATAATTGTAACGAGTGTTAAGTTCCCTGCTGTCCACACTGTGCATATCTATCTATCTCTCTGTCTATCTATCTCTCTGTCTGTCTATCTATCTGTCTGTCTATCTTTCTGTCTATCTATCTCTCTGTCTGTCTGTCTATCTTTCTGTCTATCTATCTGTCTGTCTGTCCAAACCTGCAGTTCATCTGCCCTCTTCTGGACACACAGTGCAATAACCGCTGTCTTTGCCAAGTTGCCACACAAAGGTCTACAGTTGGTTTTATATAATATAAGAACAACAGAGTTGACTGATAATAATAATATCTTCAGCATGATAATAATCCAAACCTTGTTCTTGGTGCAAACAGCTTCAGCATCACACACACTGTGCTGGTTATGAAACCTTGGTTGTGACCTTTGTCACGGCTACAAGTCTCCCCTCAGTGAAGCAGCTCTGACAGCACTCTGATCGTTACTAACCTTTAATTAAAGGTTACCCTTGTAAGATGACTAGTTGGCGTTATATTGATCGCTATTGATAAAAAGGTATATTGTATTAACTAGTGATATTGATTTATTGCCCAGCCATACGACAAAGGAAATAACATGTCTTCTCAGATTATGTTCTGAGTACTTCTCCGATGTAATCAGTGCATATAGTCACTATATAAATATAAATCATCACATCAAAAACAGAATACTCTATAAAGTAAAAGTACGTTGATTGAAAAACGCTCAAATGCTATTTCAGAAAAATGTCCCACACCTGTGTGTTGGACAGCCCCCCCCCCCCCCCCCCCCCCACCACCATCATCAAATCAACAAGTGATGTTTTCTTTTTATTATCACCTCGGCCATGGAGGTCATGTTTCACCAACCTGTTTGTTTGTCAGCTGGATTTTGCATCATGAAACTTTCAGAGCCGTTTTGGACATCTGACATTATACTGAATATATATTTCAATGTGCTGTTTTTAAAAAGCCTCTCTCCTCAGCAGAGCGGTAGCAGCATCCGTCACCTAAGTGGCTTTTGGTCACGGCAGCAGATACTTGGCGAAACCGTGTGTCTCTATAAAGTTAATTGTCCCATCTGCTGAGGATTTAGTGTTATAGATGCCTCGCCGTGGCCCAACACATCGACTGGCAGCTCCCTCAGCTCCATTTTAGTGCAGATATAACAGCCTTGATTAAATGTTTATGTCCTCTGACAGATGCCGTGTGTGTTTTTTAAAGTGACTCAATTAGCCTGACCTGACCCAGAGATCACACTTGATGAATGTGTCATGCCCTAAATGGAATTTTCATTCACTTTAAATAAGAGCCTGACCTCAGATTACAGGACTTTACTGCATGTGTCACTTGTGACATGTGAGCGGTGAATCATTGTTTGTGACAATATGCATTATAATGCTTCATCATCGGTCTCATCTAATGTCGGAGTGTTTAATGCAGAGCAGTTTGCAGCAATATGAACTGCTACAGATGAAGAATGTCACCTCACCACATTAGCATGACTGGCCTCCATCTGCTGGGCCGCTCTGTTATGGGTAGCCATCTGTAAACAACGACATATGGATCCCTCATCCAACGTGTTTGTCTTTCTCCCCCTCAAAGTGTAAATCTCAATGGAACTGCTTCCACAACACGCCTTCAAAAACGCCGCCACGCGTCCGTCGGGTGAAAGAGCACGCATCAGACAGCTAGTCGGCATCGTTTCTTTTTATTTGTGTGAAGTGAGAAACAGAAGAGAAGCGGTTAAACCACACAGAGCCGCAGTGAAGTTAGACAGAACCTATTCAAACTAGCAGTGCAATTCTCATTATTCTCAAAACAATAAAGCAGCAGTTCATGTTCTGCACTGTGAAATTATGACATGACACTGAATAAAAGAGAAATAATCATGGACATGTAACTGTACGTTAATGCAGAGCGGATTCTCTGCGCGCACTGTGGCGGAGCTCAGCTCAAAAGCTCCATTTTTCATTCACGTATTGTTTTGGCTGGGCTGTCCAGAGGTGAGTTGGTTGATCTGTTACCAGAGGATTGTCGACACAAATCCCTGAAAACCCTTCTCTCAGCGAAGTGCCTTTAAGCAAGGCACTTAAACCCCAACGCCCCCAGCCGACAGCAGACTGTGGTGGTACTGGAGATCTTCCAAAATGTGTTTGACCATGTGAATATTGAAAATAAAAAGACGGCCAAAGCTCCGTGTACTTTCCCTGGATAAATAATGGATACAAAAAATCTTTACAGTACTCTGATATCTCTCAAGAAGCTACTTCTAGTAAAACAAGTATTCAAGTACCTGAGAGCATCGTCCCATGTCACAGTCCTTTAGTAACACAGCTAAAGGGTTTGGTGTTGAACCATAGAGCACTATGGTTGTAAATCCTCAGCACCAGCAACGTTTAACTTCCTGATGAGTAGATCAATGCATTCCCTGTGCGTCAGGACGTGGGAGAACTGTCCGTGAACACAGTCTCTCTGGCTGTAAACAGTTAAGGCTTTAGTGATTCTCTCCTCACAGTAATGTCGGAACTGAACTAAGAGAGGATTGTCTAAAGACGATCGCTTCAAGAATGACACGTACATTCATCCAAAGATTTAGTGCTACAAAAACAGTTATGGTTCCATTACAGTCCCTGTAATAGACATATATTAGCTAAATTATAAATAGCAATTGGGCTATAATACACAAGTGACGGGGGCTTTTTTTTTTGATTTGATCACATCTGAGAGGGAGAACTGTCAATACAAAATACAGCAGTGGCTGACTCCCACCACAGGAGGGCACTGTTACATTGGTAATACTGCTTCACTTGTTCACTGAAATCAAGTTTCCAACATCAGGACCAGAACCGAGGGACACGTTTGAAGCGTTTAACGACCAATAGTGGAAGAGTTTGGTAAAAATGTAGTTGTTAAAATATGTCGGACTCTTTTAGGCCTCAACAAACAGTATTTTGCTAAAAAATGATATTCTTACACTTCAGAAGGAAACTCTTAATTCATTTATAAATCAACTAAAAACAGCACCACCGGCTTCAGTACCTGGATGACACAATAGTATTTGAGCCACCTCATGAGCTTTAACTAGTCGGAGGGTGGCCGACGTCCAGCCTCCTCTGCGCTGAGCCTCTTTTTCGTGCAGCAGGAACAGCGCTGACTACACTTCCCAGGGTCCCCGGCGTCTGGAAGAAGGCCTTGGAAGCAGATGCTGTGGCGTCCTTTGGAGTATGTGGAGTCTGAGGATGGAGGGAGAGATGCACGTTTTTGAGAACATCCTATTAAATGTTGCTGGTTCCTGCAGATCTGCAGGTTTGTTTAATCTCATGAGGATATGAAAACAATTCAAACTATTTCCTGGTTTTATGTTAAAGCTACATTATTGCCATGGAGTGAAAGGAGACGTGACGTGTTTTCATTTATGTATTTAGTGGTGCCTTCAAGAACTCTCAAGGATCACCTTAAAAAGCTCTGTACGGATTTATTGTGTCTGTAAAAGAATTCTGAAAATGATCAAAACCACTTTTCTGTCTATCAACTGTAGTAAAGTAATTATTTCATCTCTATGGTGCAATTTTACAAGAAACCAATGAGAGAACTCCGCTCAGTAACTAGCACCAGACTCTGCTTCTCCCTGTTTTCATGAAGGTGTCACTCGATCCAAATTACAGCATGGCCGTTGACTCAGACGATCGTTTATTATTTACGCTGCATTAATTCGCCATCCAGGGCCTCGGCTGGTCGTCCAAACACCACCGATCAATGAGAGCGATGCCAGCAGAGCTTTGTTGGGTTCTTTGTGTAGACGGGAACATTAAACCATATTTAAAGACTCTGAGATGAATCAGCCCAAACCTCTGCCTCACAAAAAGCTTTCTGAATGAGTAAATGAGGGGAAACCTTCCACAAAACAGATGCTCACGACTCACTGCGTTATACCAGAAAGCTCATGAATCATTGTGAAGGAGAATTACGTCTAAATGAATGTTTTCCGAGCTCAGACCGGTTTGGATGTGAAGATTTTAAGATGTATTCATTTGGGGTTGTCAACGGACTGAAACTCTTACCAGTGGTTCTGGTGTGCTGATGCTCACAGTCTGTCTGGGTCCCTGTGGCGAATGTGGAGCTGACCCGTACTGCTTGCTTTGTTCCGGAGTGGACGGCGATGGAACCGGCGACCAGCTCACGTCAGGCGCCGCCGCCGCCAGGCTGTAAGGCGCCGCCCCTACTGTAAAGTGGGCCGGTGACATCACTGCGGGCAGACTGAAGCTGAGTTTGGCGCGGCTGTCCGAGCCTTGCTGTTGTAGCCCGCCGGCAACCAGAGGGTAGTGGGAGAGGGCGGCGGAGGGCACCAGGACGTAGGGCAGCGCCAGGGTGGGAACACCGCCGGGAGGAAGTGCTAGACTGGTCGGGGACTGGCCCGCAGAGAGGAAGAAGTTGAGGCTGTTCAGACCTGGAGACAGAAGAGGAGAATGTGGGGAAAAAGGTTTAAGGAGGTTATGTTTTCAATTGCATTTGTTGGAAGGATGAAACTAAAACTACTTAACTGGTTCACATTTCATTTTGTGAAGGAGTGGGGCAAAGAAGGAAACCTTTAAATTTAACAATTTGCAGATATAGACATTTTATTTCACTTTATATTATGAGATTGGGTGTTTTTCAACGTTTCCTCCTTCCTTGATTTCTCAGAGAATAATTCATGGATCTTGATGAAAACAATGTTTAGGGGACTGATACTGATTTTTTTTTAATTGATGCACATCCAAATAAAAATCCAGATGTAGTGAAAACCATGAAATCTATATCTAAAATATGGTTTCATGGGGGGGACTGACATGGTGATTCAATCCTGTCATGTGATAGATGTCACATGACCTACACGAGACAGGGTGATGGAAATCAAGCGCACCCTCGGCACACAGGTGTCTTGATTCACTGTGTCTCCTGTGAAGTGGATCCTTTGTTCTCCTCTGAGGTCATGCAAGAGAGGATTTACTTCATTCACTAGACACCGAGAGATAACTCCAGCTGAAGACCACTCTATAGAACTTCAGCATGTCCTGAGTCAAGTACAATGGCATTTGGTGAGTCTCGATAATAATAATATATATTTTATTGTAGCTGATAACATGTTGATTTTAGCAGCCAAGTGAATGTAACGTCTTTAAATTCCAAAAACCATCCCATGTTTCCAAAGCACATGTTACTGTGTTAATGTTTGACTTCAGATTTAAAACGAAGCCCAGTTACTTTGTAAAACACGTCAGATCAGACGGGTGCAGCCCATGAGCAGGTCGACAACAATTTTTATAAGCATTTCTTTAAGTTTCTTAAAAAATAGAGAGAACACTTATGGATCATTCTTGGGCCCACGGTTGAGACCAGCTATCAAAAGCTAAACAGTCAGTAACCATTTTAAGATGATTCGACTTAGAAACTTTGATTTCTTTAAATGCAACAGACATTTTCAGTTAATACGGTCTAAACCTTTAAAAACAGTTAAGTTATTTTTTCCTCATTACTGAAAACATTGTCAGTTCTAAAGAAATTATTCCAAACTCAAAACCCAAGTTGTATATTTAATGACAGTTACTTAAAAATGATTTGGCAGTTTAACTTGTTTCTATTTCCAATCGTAATAATCCTCATTGCTAGAACGTCATGACCATAGAAACCTGTTTACCACATTTATTCTTATACATTGATTCAGCTTCAATAGAATCTCCACAGCACAAGAACTCCAACCACTCCCTCAAGTTTTTGTTCATCTATGTACAAAGAGCACACAATTGTATTTCCCTGACTTAGTCAAGGTTCATTTTACGGAGGGCAGACTCCACCCCTTCCTCAAAGATTATTAAGAGTTCTCATAAATCAGTATATACCTGCATTGTTGGGTACGTAGAGGTAGTGTGACGGCTGGGCGGGCTCACTGCTGCTGCTTTCATCGAACGCTCTGCCGGGGCCTGTCGCAGAAGTTCTGGTGAAACACTCCTCTGCTTCCCTCTGAGGTTCAGCTCCCGTCTGGAAGGAAACATGACACAGACTTTTAATAGACATCCAAATCTGCATAACGGAACTTATTAAAGCCGTTTAATCATATTACTGCACTGAACCAAAATCGTGTTGTTAAAGTGGTAAAAGAGACACTGGAGTAAAGACAAGGGAACCACTACACAGCAAGTATCACCTCACCTTGTCACATTCCTCTAACCCAGACATTCCCTTCTTTTTCACCACTGCCTCCTCCTCCTCGCTTTCTTCCCTCCTCCTCTTCCTCCCCTCCTCAGACGCTGACACGGGTGACCTCTGACCTTCAGGCATCGGGTGAGACTTGTCTAACGGCCCATACAGCATCACCACCGACGGCTGCGACAGGCTGGGCAGGTAGGCTAAGCAGTGGGGAGAGGAGGTGGAGGGGGTGAAGAGGTACTCGGGCGGGGGGGGAGGCGTCAGCAGGGTGGACTGGGCGGAGGACGGAGGTGGATGGCTGCTGCTGCTGCTGCTGTGAGGCTGCAGCGCCGCACTGGGACGGATACTGAAGAGGAATTAGGAAAACAACAAAAAAAGATGTTGAAGATTTGTTTGGATATAATTTGACCTGATTGAGCAATACAGGCGTCACCATCCAATCAGAATGCAAAGTGAATGAAGATGAAATTAATATTATATTCAGTAAAGACAGCAGTGGTTCAGGCTCAGCTCTGGCTCGTGTTGCCTCCAAATAAATACTGGACACCAGTAGATCAATGAACAATGCAATCAATGGAATTAAACTTAGGGGCGGAGCTTAGAGGAAACAAAAAAAAAGTCTTTCATTCCGTCCTGTTTCTCTTTCCACATCATCTGAACTGGGAGATGAGGAAAATCAGCTTAACAACCAACAGCTAAATGACAGAGTAAGAGTTTCCACAGTCGGGGGGAAACAGGAGTCATGTGTTCTTTGTATTTGCTGTGGCGTGTCTGTCAAATACACGTCATGAATGGATTTAAAGGAGACTGAAAATGTTCCAGAGTACATTATTTGTGTGTAGTTTTTCTGCTTTTTTCTCCAACTGCCATTTTAAAAAAACGGTTTCTCTTACGTCTCATATCCCTTACGTCTCTGTCACTGGTTAATTCTCTTTGGCATATACTCAAGACAACTCTTTGTAAGTGATACCAGTGGGATCCAGTGCTTCCATGTTGTGTGAATGGAGGTTTGCAGAAAATAAAACCGCTGTGACTCTTGAACAGGACAAATCCAAGTGTATTAGTATTATTAGTATGTGCACAGATCATTTCTGCTATGAAGTACTCCAGTGGATTGAGATCATTTCAGTCTTTTGCCTTTTAAAACCAAAAACGCATTTGTGTTGATGTAGTCGCTGCTTCCTCCAGTAAAATCACAGGCTACTTTCCTGCAATGGTTCCTGAAGCCTTGCACAGTTCCCGCTGGTAGAGTTGGACATAGAAGCCCCTGTGATCTCTTGCTGATGTGCAGATTTCTAACTCTCCCGTAGGCCGCCACTGCCCCTGGTGGATTTTGACCCAGCCTTGTGTGTAAAATATCCTCTTTCAACACTCACTTGCATGTCTTATTATTTCCCTCCCCCTCCAAAAACACTTACGCATTCACAGCCTTGGGGCGGCTGTGGTGAACTACTGTGTCTGAAGAAGCCAACATATACATTCACGAGGCCATAACTATTCATATCCACAGCAGCCAGCTCCCGTTACGTGTAGCCTAAAGCTGAGCTCATCAGCCAATGCAAACACACGGAGTGTGTTGTGTTATGTATGAGAGACTGAGATTTCTTATAACTCAAACATAGTCGATAGCTTTTAATGCCTGATGTGAAAATGGAAACCGAGTTTATCCATTTGAGAGTAATTGCGTAGCCTCGCTCGGACAGCGGATACATTTTGAGACGAACCGTTTCTTTAAACGGCTACTGCACCGTGTCTATCCCGACAAAGGTTAGAAATACTGTGTGCTGTAAATTCTTTGGCAGTAAATCTGAGGTGTGCGATAAATCTAAACCAAGAGAAGGCCAGGGCCATTACAGACCTGTGTGTGTGTGGGAAATCTGTTTACACAGTCACATTCTGGGGACTTGTCTTCCTGATGGGGACAAAAGGCAAGTCCTCATTATGTAAATTATTCAATTTTAAGGTGACATGTTTTTCACGGTTAGGTTGGTAAGTTATGTCCTCTGTAGTTGTGGAGACGCAACTTTGTGTATGTTCTTGTAGACATGTGAGTCTAGACCGTACAGAGTGAGGACATTTTGGATGGTCTTTACTTACTGAACAACTTTCAATATGCTCTTTATGGGTTAAGACATTTATTTGTGAAGGTAAGGGGCTCGGGAATAAATAAGGGTATGGGTCTAAGGAATGCATTCTGTCAATGAGTGTCAAGATAGAGGTGCAAGGGTGTGTGTGTGTTTGCTAACTCACTCAGAGCTGTTTCCAAACTGCAGTCGATAAACTGCGTTGGGGCCGGCAGCCTTCCTGGAATAATCCACAGGCTGATTTGGCAGACCTGAGTTGTGAGGAATCAAACAGGAAAAAACTCTAAATGACTTTTCTGATTTAAGTAGCAAACAGACGTGATCCAATACTGTAAGATTCAGCGTCTCTTACCTGTCAGCTCTGGTCGCGGGCTGCTTGGGGACGACTTGACCAGCCGTTTAACTGCCACAGATGTTGGTGTGATGTTGAAGGAGGCGTGACGTGCCATCTTGGCTCCTCTGGGGTCCTGGCGTGCCATTGGCTGTGTGGAGGCAGGAGTGACTGCTGCCAAGTTGAAAGTATGAGGGGTCTGAGTTAGCATGACAGCAATAACGACAAACGTCGGGGATGTGATTTTAAGGGGTCTCTGAATGAGTCATCACATTTTAGAAATTCCATAGTTGGGCGTGGATATCAGAATGTGACTTGTGTGATTCTTACCGGCACTTCCAGAGTTGTTGAATTCAACCTGGCCGAGCCACTTGAAGGCCGGTTTCCTGTCTTTATCCTCACGCACATGCAGCTTCTTTATGAGGCCCAGGCTGGTCAAGACATTGGCGATGTCATACAGTCGCCGCACCTTAGCTAAAGATACATAGAGGTTTAGTTAATACAACAGACTGATGGATTTCTGTAACAGGACACACAAACCATCTTATTCGTCACATTTCAGCTTTCTGATCACAGCACGTTTGGTTTTTGTTGGATTTCTTACTTTTGTATTTGCTGTGACTTGAAGAGTCTTGACTATCCTCAATCAGGATCTTTGCTGCTGCGTCCAGGGTAACAGTCTGAGTTTTAGACACCAGGAACAGCATGACAAACTTCTGGCTCATGATCCGCAGAGACTTGTCCTTCCTGTTGCCACTGGCTGCAAACGACACGGGTACTTTCAGTATGCGAGACCAATATGTGAGTTATCAAACAGAAATATGAACATCAGGTATGAGATTAACATTAATTCACCATGTAAAACTAAGTCATTCCAGTAATAGACTTTTTATATTTTATTATATACATAAACAAAACATCGACATGACGAAATTTGAAAGAAAGCAGACTTCGTGCTTGTGTCAGCATTTGCTCACTTGTGGTGCAACTTTGCCCATTTTTTAAGCTATGAAATTCAAATGCATGTGTATTATGTTAACTCGCAGGCAATGAAGTGTGGCAGTAATTACAACTACAGGAATATAAACATGAAACATCACTATCTGACTCACCAAAGCTCTATTGGCTGTGTGATTAGGCCTGAAATTATGGCCTTGATTACAATTTCTACAATAAAAGTATTGGATGTTTTGTGGTGTTATTAAATGGTTTACAGCGCAGCCTCTTCTAAAGGTTAGAGGCTGTAATGAGCTTGTGTTAAATGTCGCCAGCTAAAACTGAATATCAGCAACTATGCAATACTCACAGGAGGTGCACCATTATCTTGAGGTATGCTTTGTTTTCATAAGAAATACATCAATTATAGCAGGTATGTTAATGTGTACGTATACAGGAGGTGCATCTTTCATGTTTTGGGTGTTCACATTCTGAGTGAAATAAATATAACTAATTAATTATGTGAGTATAAATGCCTAAATGTAACAACAATCAAATCCAGTCACCAGGAGCTACCTTCACAAACTACCTTTGTCAATAAATGTTAAGTTTTATAGGTCTGTCCATTACCGTTGCCAACGTCTCCTTCCCCTCCGTCATCCTCGCGTCCTGGCCCCGCCTCCCTGGCCTCTGCAGCCAGCTCCATCTGGAGGTGGTAGCCCTGCTGCCGGCCCCTCCGCTGCAGCTCCTCCAGCGTGGCCTCCAGCTGCTGGCGCCCATACCAGGTGTAGCTGTTTTTGGCTATACGGCCGACGATTGTCAGAGACTCCAGCACATTGACGATGTCATAAATACGCCGCCTTCCCACTCCTGACAAGTGCAAGAAGGGAAAAATTAGCTTAATTATCTTTGAATAACCTCACTGAATAGTCAGTATTGCAATTTAAAATGAATGAAAGCTGTATTCTTTATTTAAATAGTGATGTACATTTGAATCAAAGGGATCACCATAGCAACTGCACCTAAATCCAATAACATAAAAGCTTTATAAGGCTCAGGAAATGGACATTAGATGCCTCCATTACCATCTAGCCCCCATTAGTGTTCACAAACAGCACAGGAAGAAGCAGCCATCCATCTCCCCATCAACACAATCTTTTGTTTTGTTGCTGGCTCTTACCCAATCTGGTCGCCACCTCGTCCAGTGAGATCCAGATGGGGCTGTTAGGTGGCGGATAATCGGGGTAGAGGGCCAGGAACTTTTGGCACAGCAGACCCAGACTCTTCTGCTTCCTGCTGGGCTTTTTCTCTGCCTCATCCTCTTCATCCACAGCTTCAAACTGAACAGAAACATACATAGATAAATATTGAGGACGATATCCTAACATTGGGTAAAGAGGTTTTGGTTATGCTTTGTGCATCCCCATTATCCTGTTTCAGTACGATAACACACATCTTAAATTGATTTCCTGCAACATGCCTCCGAGGGCTCATTTTTCACAGAATCAATTCTTGAAATCCCTGGAAAGGTATTAAAACTGGAAAAATGTTCACGTGTCGGATTAAAGTGTATCACAAAAGCTCGGGGTGATTTAGGCTCCATCTGCTGCTTGTATACAAAATTACTTAATCTGTCATAACTGAGAAATTTAAATTATACTTTGGAAAACTCCATCTTGAGTGTTCAGCTGCTAATAAAATGTAAGTAAGGGGAAAAGGTGTTTACTCTTTCAATTGTGGAAATTCTGGCTTCATATGAGAAACAATAACCGTGATCAATTGAATTTCTCCTCTTTGGCAAATGCCAAAATTCCTCATTTCACATACTTGACAAGAGTCTTCCACCTCTGTGTCCTCCATCACGGTATCTGGACTTGCAGGCTTCTCCTTCTCGTTCTCTATGGGCCTAAACAGCACCTTCTTCATCTCTCGGTCCCTAATGTCCGGACTCGCCGCGCTGATCAGCATCTTAAGATTGGCCGTGGGGGTCCAGGGCTCGGCTGCGGTGGCGTGCTTGATGGGTGTGATGTGTGCCAGGTCAGCGGCTGCACCTTTTCTGTTCGTCAGCAGAGGAGGGACGGCAGACTCTGACGATTTCAGCGGAGTGGCTCTCCTCCTCTCTGTGCAGATGTTTTCCTGTGATGGGTACAGATGTGTGGTTAAAAGACAAACTCACCACATTCAAATTCGAGGTCATTCACACCATGTTTTAACCGTAAATGTCCTCTGATAGTCTCCTTTGGAGCTGCGTTATATAGCTGCTTAATATTATGAGAATAAAATCGTTATATTACAAGAAGAAAGTTGTAATTTTATTAGAATAAAGATGTAATCTCATTTAACGAGGGGATATCCGACGTCCAGCCTGTTGCCTCCATCAAAATGAGGTATATTGAGCATCTGGTTTAGCACAGGTCTCACAAATGTTATTCTGATGAAGCACATTATTTAAGTTTCATAAGTAAAATGATTATGGAGCTCAAGTAACATTACAAAGCACCATTTTATGTTGAATCTTTTTATTTGGGGAAGTAAAAACTACTGCCGGCACACGGGTGAATTCGTATTTGAAGACAACCCCCCCCCCCCCGTCTCTCTTGGGATGCCTTCACACTACTTTGATCTTTTCCCTCTTTCCAGTCTGACTCTGCAGCTCGCCCTCATTCGCATGATATCAACCCTGGCAACCAGCTACAGCGATCAGACCACACGGACCTGGGGATCGAGCAGTAATCCACCTCTGTTACCTTTTGTTCGGCCCGGTCTCCATCCTCCTCTGTCACCACAGTCACACTTTTCCTTGGACTCGTGAGGTCTCTCAGTGCGAGGCATTCAACTTCCATGAGGGAAACCTGTAGATCCACCATAAAGAAAACAGTGAGGATGTGTCAGAGGTCGAAGACGGATCAGAGGACTAGTCGTTCTGGCGGGGGAGGATTGGGGGGGGGGGGGGGGGGGGGGGGGGGGGGGGGGGGGTTGAGGAAGTTTCAGTCTGGACAGAAAACTCAAAGAGGAGTGGGCAGCTGGATTTGGCGCAAAGAACATCGGCTAACTAGCCCATAGCCAGCTAGCAAGTGGAACTAAGCTAACAACTACCTCACAGTTTGGTTCAGTGCTAACACAACGTCAGCCATGACACCGCAGCAGATGTGGCAGACACATTAGTGAGGGTGTCGCTACAAGACATTAATACATAGGTTAGTAACACGTCGTAGCGTCAGAGCTGTTTACATGACAGGCTGCCCATCTTTAACTCGCTGGATACACATACAGCGGTGGGTTCACAGTTGAGACTTGAATTAGCTGCTAACGGGACCAGTCTCTGCTGAGCAGCACATCAGTGTTGGATCAGACAGGAAACCGCTGGAGGGACAGACCCATACCTCACTGTTCTCTGCTGAATGGATGAAATGTTCCTGTCCTGGCTCCGTGTCACACGCTCGTCAGTTCCTCCACACTGACATAGCCTCTGGGAAATAATCGGGTAGTCCTCCGTGTCTCAGGTCCTGCACGGTGCTGTCTTGCGGAGGGGACACTCTGATCTGTCCTCAGGAGACAGCATCACCCGCTCAAGCTTGTTTTCTGGCGCTCTCCGGCCTCTGGCCCGCTCCAGCCAATCAGCGCCCGGGCGGTGGGCGGCGTCCTTTGGCTCCAGCCAGTCAGCGTCGTCGCGCTGGGGTGCGCGTCTCGGTTTTTACCAGATTACCACGCCCCGTCGTGGTGTTGGCGGGGCAACAGGCGCGCTCCGTGCAGGATTCCGGGGGAAACAAAGAGTGGAGGAGGAGACAGAGGTCTCACTCTGCGGATAATTCCCGGAGCAGGATCAGAAACGGGTTTTACATTTCTTATCGCACTCAACTCAGAGATTGCACTACCTACTTTTAGTATTTACAATTAATGCAAACTTCTGTATTAACTTTTAAGTACAGACTACCTTGACACAGCTTAAAGAATACCTATGTTGCCTAGATTTATTCAAACGAGTGACTGCTTCTTCCTTATAGACGATGTCTGTAACTTTCCGAGCCCATGCCTGTCCCCTGCTTCCTGTCCCACTGAGACACCTTGCATCATCTCTGTGAATAGAAATCTACCTTGAATTCAATCACCACGGCTTTGTCTCCAGTATAATGCAGAGTTAGCTCTGTGGCTGGAGGCCCCTGGGAGGAAGGGGGGGTGACAACAGCAGTGGCGCTAATATCACCTGGACCTCAGCGGGAAAAGTTGCGGTGGGAGTGAGAAAGTGGAGGGAGGGAGGGACGGAGGGAGGGAGACCCGCCCTGGATGTAAACAGAGAGCCTCAGGACTGGCCCCCAAATCTGCCGCCAAATGTTATGTCAAAAGTATTTATAGTTATATAATAGGAAGTACAGGAAATCTGTGATTCAGTCCAGATTCTCTTCTTCACTAGATTTACTTCTAATTATCAAAAAAATTCTTCAAAGGTTTTATTTGTCATCTGCACAACAGATACAGCGTACATGTTGGCAATGAAAATCTTCAATCCCAGGCACCTCAAGCAACTCACCATGCAATAGTGTCAGAAAATAAGAGTAACTAAAAATACCAATACAACTAGTGCAAATAAAACAATACAGTACAAATGTCTTGTTGAGGTCCAGTGTGTAAGATTGAGGTGAAGAGGATCGATTGGCAGAAATTGTAGGTAAAATAACCCTAGTGATGTTTTCACCAGTGTGTTTCATCTAAATCGTATTAGTTGTTTTCTTTCCCCTAGAAAGGCCCTTTCAATTTAAATACTTCATATTTACATTGTGGGGGTCGTCTCTACAGACCCGCCATGTTTTTTTTTTACAGTTGTCCAAACTGGACAATCTAAAAACCTTTTGAGTTTTTATGACAACTGAAGCTGCCATAGGTTCCATTTCATTAATTTTTTTCTTTCCTCTTCTTTCATTACAAATGAAAAAAGCCCAGGTCAGGTCCCTGAAAACAGCTCTGGCTGCAATATTTGAACCAATGACCACTTACATTTAGTCTCCTGTCTCTCCGTGAGAACAGCAAGTGAAATTTTTTGTGTTATTCAGTGCAAAGACTTTATTTGCCTCGGTTGTACAAATGTTTTGTTATTGTCATTTGGACATCACACGTTAATCCGAGCATCAAATCCAACAAAACAGTGACATCACTTGTGAGCACGTTGCTTTAGGGGTATGTTAATAGCTGGTGATCACTCTGCATGAGTCGTTAAATTATTATAGCAGAGAGGAGCAGAGAGATTCATGTTTACAGTTTATTAAACCCTCACTGTTAAATCGAATCTGTTTGCTTTGCTTCTCTGACAGCCTTTGGCCCATTAGTCACTTAAATTACATTATTTGTTTCAGTCTAACTGTGGCCCAAAACTACCCACATGTGGAAATTTAAGAGGCCAAATCAAACAAATAAATAAATAAAATATCTGTTTGTCATCCAGAGTTAAGCTCTCAGTTCTCAACATCTACCCACCTGCTCCTTCATGCAGTTATCCAATCAAACAATCACATGGCAGCAGTGCAAGGCATGAAATCCTGCTTTTGGGTATTTTAGGACAGGACCAAAGTAATCATACTTTGTACTGATGTAGAGTTATTGATGAAATTATTGTACATATAATATTTTCCCAGGGACCTCTCTCCCCCCAAGGACCCTACTTTGAGAACCCCTGTGCTAGAGGCTGCTTCAGCAAGTTTCATCAAATAGAAACAACACATCCTCCAATAGTGAGAACAAACTACACAACCAACAATAAGAGGAGATCTCTATCACCCTATTCCCCATGTCCAGGCTTTGCCAGTATAGCAAGAAAGATGCAGCTAGTTGAACTTGGATAAGAAACAACTAATGTTTACCCATAACTTTTTGAACTTATTTTTTCAAGAGTTGCCTTTGACTACTAAGAACAACCTGCTTCTGCAAAATGTGACATATTTACAGTATTTAAGAGTGGAGAATAATTTCCTTTGAGCACACACTGCTGTCTCACACAATCACAGCTCACCACTCAGAATACACATCACTCACAATACTGTTTCTGTGTGAGCATTTCTCCACCATGATGTAAGTGACATCATGATGTTAGTGAGTAGTTTTGTGATGTAAATGTGAAATACAGAGCCACTGCTGCCCAACATTTCCCACATTATAGAAAGAGACAAAAGGAATAAACTTTTAAAAGTTTATTTACCTTTGATTATTGTCAAAATGCAAGATTGTGTAAGTAAGGATTAGTAGTATTTAGTATATAGGGCCTCACTGGATTTTATCTTGCTGGGCTGGTAACCAGTTGCTAGACCCACACCTGGAGTGTCCCCTGTGCCTCCCCGACAGATGGACTCCACCCTCCCCCCGCTCTCTTACCAGCAACCAATCAGTGTTGTGTGCAAATCTACCTTCTTTGCTTTTGTTATAATCATCATTTCCCCCATTAAAACCATAGTTCCTTATGTGAGTATGCTTATTTGCTGTCAATATGAAAGCAAACTGAACAGATGACTGGTCCTTAATGAAACAAAAAACAGCTATAATTATGTTGCTTGACTTTTAGAGGTCACATAATCACTGCATGTCACTTGAGTGTGTCTCTGCAGCAGTTGTGTAATTTGTTGTGTGTTTGCCTTAGGACTGCAGGGCCGTGTGTATGTGCTGGAGTCCTTGATTCTGTGATGATTCCTCACCACTGTTACCAAGTGCTTTTTACCATAATAAGTGAAGTCCAGAGCTGCTCCATATGAAAAGTGCCCTGAGATGATTTCTGCTGTGATTTGGCCCAATATAAATTAAACCAACGTGTGTGTGTGTATAAACCCGGGCACGTTGCGACTTGTCAGGTTGTGAGGGAGTCAGCTGAAGCTGTTTGGGTCCTAACAGTCAAAAGTGACACCCTCCGCCCCCTTTGCTGCTTTCACTGGTCTCTAAGATTTGAATGTCATTACAAAGCTTTGTTTACTGCTCACCTCTGATAGGACACTGACTGAGTCCTAAGATACCAATCTGTCAAACAATGCTCTGAGTGTTATTTTCTTATGGCATGCGTTGGCTGTAGATCTCTGAACGGAGTATCGGGTATTTTGAGCATTGGGTGTGGTGCACCTCTTCAGGCCAAGGGAGTAGAGTGGAGAATAGCTTAATTTGATAATATAGGAAGGAATAAACAAGCTTCTGCCTGTGTTAGTGTGATATTATTACAATGAAGACTTGAATTATCTTTACCAGTGTAACCAGAATTTTAATGTTGTTTGAGATTGAGCTAATATTAACTATTTGATGTTATACAGAAGGTGCCTGCTGTTCCCAGTGGACACGAGAGTGATTTAAAAACAGTTTCCTATTCATTATTGCAGCAAATGTAACAGAAGTCAAATTACAATTAAGAGGATACAACGAATCAGTTACTGCAGGTTCATTTATCTATATGTTTGATGTGTGTAACAGAGGTTTCTACACTACTGTGATTTTTAGATTATTGTGTATACTATATGCAGTCACCATAGCAACTGAATTAGTTAAATATCATGGGTCAGAGTTTACCTCGGATGATGGCAAACAACAGGAAGCACAACTCTGCCCCACAGAGCATCAGTAACCACATGATGTGATTCCAGGGTCATGGGTCATGATGATGTATATTTATAATTGTGACTCCAGTGCCTCTTTTGATTGTCTTACAAAAGAAAAATATGAATTTCCACACGGAACACTGTTCTATGAGTGCTGCTTCAGTGTTTACTGACATTACTGGAACATAATGCGGCAGATCAATAGGGAGAACTGAAAGAAAGTAGGGCCACAGGTCAGGAATAACATGCTCATTTGAAAGGATGCTTGCTGCAGGAGACTGGATTTGATATTCATGACACAACTCCGCTGAAGCTTGACTAAAACAGCAATGTGAGCACACACATCTCTATGTGTATCTGTGAACATCGTCCAATTATTTAGACTTTTTCTCCACTTTCCTGAACCTGAAGCTGTGTTCATCCAACAGAAAGTTTAATGAAGTGAGTCAATCTGTTGAGAGGTTTTCTGTCATGGACGTGAATGTTTGATCCCTGAGCGTCTCCGCTTGATTAATGGCAGACTCAACAGCATGACTCCGCCGCCCCTTATACTCTTTCTTGACCCTCCAAAGCTTTTTCTAACGAAGCGGACGGAAGATCAATAACTCAGAGAAGCCTCTGATGATGTTTTGACGTCGTCTTCCATTACTCGCTGGCGGATATTTGATGAAATCACCTTGAAATGTTGTTGTGTAGACATTTCAATCAGAAGGAAAGCTTCTCGTCTCTGATTCAATCAACTATGATTCTACGGTAATTAAAAACAACACCTTGGAAAATGTAGGTTTTTTTTCGTACCTCCATGGAATTTCTTTAAATATTCTGATCTTGTTAACTTGTTTGCAGTGATGAGCTGACTTGGTTTTTAGCTGGTCAACCAGTCAAGGCAAGCTTTACTATATATATTTGATAAACTTATATATACTGGTTAGTTAACAAAATTACATTATCAACACAGTCTGCTTTTTGGGGCATCATTTAAATTCATCTTGCATCATAGACAAGCTTTTAACTAGTTGATGATAAAAATGAAAAATGTAATCATGGAGCGATAACGCATAGTAGGTACTTGTCAGTACTGGTTGTACTTACTGTGGTAGGGAAATGAATAGGCCTGCTTAGATTCCCATTCTTTAAGGTGTCAGTTCTGTGAGCTAACCACCGGTAGATATTTAATAGAGTCAAAATTGGACGTTTTATAATTGCCAACATACAATATTTGAGTATTTGCAAAGTGAGTAAATGCTTTCAGGTGATTTGGACACATTTTGTGAGGTGGTCCTTTTGACAAATGTCTATGCTTGACTTTTTTTCAGTGCTGTAGAAGCTTCTAGGTCTGTCAGGTGTCACTGCCCCATGTGTCTGTGCTGTTAATGTTAGATGTGACACACACACACACACACAAAACATGAACTGAGTTAAAATGTCCAAAGTTCATTAAATGAAGAATAATGTTCCCTTGTGGGATTCACTGTGGTTTCTGTGGTAATGGATAAAGAATAATGATAAAAACAAAAAACTGATTGGCAACCATGGCAACAATCGAAGCTTCTATGCTTTCAGGTCAGCCCTGAAATGACTACAAATATAAATATGGGAAAATGAAAAGGTTGGAAGCCGCTCTGCTCTCCCCAGAATAGAGTAACCCACCCTTCTTTCAGCAAACACAGACAATCCCGCGTCCCTATAACTCACCCCCCACCATAATTTCCATGCAGGACCTTACATCACCTAAAACCATACTTAGACATCTGAAAAAAGACGATGAAATGGAAATTGTCTCTCAAACCCCAGATGTAAATCTATAGATTAGGCGCATTGTGAGTGGTAAACA